ATAATAGGAGAAAAAAAAACAACAATACGAAACAAAACAACAATATATGAAAAAAAAATAAAAAACACGAAAACAAAAAATAAAAAAAAAAGGGGCCGGACACAAACCGACACGGAAAGGCTATCGACGGCGGGCGCGTCGAGATATTCATCCGCATCGACGCCCGCCGTGTACCCGGCCCCGTCGGCGCGCTCTCACGTTTAGTGGCGTGCTGTGAACAATTCGGTACGTGCGCCACTCTGCACGCCCACCCGCCGTTGATCGCCTTCACCCGCCGGCCCGCGCCGAAACTTTGACCCCAAATCCGGCGCGCAGCGGACCATCGACCTCCCCCCTGCGGCCAATGCTGCTTAAGGGGTAGGATATATATATATATATATATATATATATATATATATATATCAGGGCTGGTCCCCGGATGGACCGGGGAGCCCTCCCCCGACCGGAGTCCTCCCGGTTGGACCGGCCGGTGCCCCGGGCCGGCTCCCTCCCGGTTGCCCCCAGCGCATTTTCGCTGGGGCCTCAAAAAAAAAATTCGGCGGCGGGGTTGTGTTTTTCAGGCGCCGTGGGGGCAGGCCGTCACACGAAATTCGGAAACCGGGTCCTGCAGGTCCTGGTTTTCCTTGTTCGAAAAGCGGCCGATCTTGGCCGTCGATCGTTGCAAATCGGCGGCAAAGATCGGCCGCTGTTTTCAAACTTGCACGCGGGAAGTGTCGGGGGGTGAGCGGGGGAAAACGATTCGGTCGTTCAACCCCGCTCGCCCCCGCTTGCTGCATCGGAAGGAGTGCCGTCGTCGTCCGCCCCCCCCCCCCCCCCCCCCCGTTGGAGATCGTCGTCGTCGTCGTCCCGTAGCTGGAGAGCGTCTTCGTCGGCCGCCCGCCAGCCAGCCGCGCCATCGCTTGGTAGTCGTGCCGTTGCACCCCCCCCCGCTGACGAGTCCATCGCGCCCCCTACTGTGAAGGGTTGGTCTTCTTCTTCTTCTTCTTCTTCTTCTTCTTCTTCTTCTTCTTCCTCCTCTTCCTCCTACTCTTCTCCTCCCTCTTCTTCCTCCTCCTCCTCCTCCTCCTACTCTTCTCCTCCCTCTTCTTCAGCCTCCTCTTCTTCCTCCTCCTCCTCCTCCTCCTCCTCCTCCTCCTCCTCCTCCTCTTCTCCTCCCTCCTCTTCGTTGTCTTCTTTCTCTCCCTCTTCCTCCTACCCTTCTCCTCCCTCTTTTTTGTCATCATCGTCCCCCTCCTTCTCCTCCTCCTCCTTTTCCTCTTCTTCCCTCTTCTTCGTCATTGTCTTCTTCCTCCTCCTCCTCCTTCGCCTC